AGAGAGAAAGAGAAGAAAGAGAAGAAAGAAAGGAGGGAAGGAAGGAAGGAAGGAAGGAAGGAAGGAAGGAAGGAAGGAAGGAAGGAAGGAAGGAAGGAAGGAAGGAAGGAGAAAGAAAAAGAAAAGAAAGAAACAGCAAGTCAAATACTGCATGTTATCACTTACAAGTGGGAGCTAAATAACATGTACACATGGACATAGAGAGTGGAATAACAGACACTGGAGACTCAAAAATGTGGGAGGTGGGAGGGGAGTGAGGGATGAGAAAGTATCTATTGGGTATGACGTGCACTATTTGGGTGATGACTGCACTAAAAGCCCAGGCTTTGCCACTACCTAATATTTCCATGTAACAAAACTGCACTTGTATGCTCTAAAATATAATTTAAAAATAAGTAAATAAAAACTCCATTTTTTCCACTATATTCAGTATCGTCTCCTGTCCTCATGAGTATATGTGTGAATGGATCTTCTATGATATTGGAGACAGGTAGAGGTCAGTGTAGCTCACAAGCAAAGGAGGATATGCAAATGAAGGTTCCTAGAAGGTTAAAAAATTTGGACAAGAGTTTTAGATATATGCAGGCTAGGAAATTAAGAGAATTATCTTGCTAGGCATGTATCTAAAGGGCAGTGGCCCCACAGACAACTATGCTACATAATAAAATATATTATTTTTGAAATCCAGCTATCTGCTTTCTCTGCACCCTCCTCTACCATCTCTAAAAGCTTCCTGTCTTTAAGCACAATTGTTTAAAGGACTCGGAAACATACCTATGCATTAAAAATATTAATAGGGGCTGAATGCAGTGGCTCACACCTGTAATACCAGCACTTTGGGAGGCCAAGGCGGGTGGATCACTTGAGGTCAGGTGTTTGAGACGAGCCTGACCAATATGGTGAAATCCCATCTCCACTAAAAAACAAAAATTAGCCAGGCATGGGGGCTTATGCGTCTAATTCCAGCTACTCAGGAGGCTGAGGCAGGAGAATCGCTTGATCCTGGGAGGCAGAGGTTGCAAGGAGCCAAGATCACACCACTGCACACCAGCATCGGCAACAGAGTGAGACTCTATCTCAAAAAAATAATAATAATACGTGTGTGTGTGTGTGTGTGTGTGTTAACAGAAATATTATGTACCATTAATCCCTTGGGCTAAATGCTTCTCTGTGGCAGGGTCCACTAGAAATGGAAACAAAAGAAGCTGTGAAATCTAAAACTTTTCATAAAAGTCTGAAACCTGCCAGACACTGTGGCTCACATCTGCAGTCTCAGCTACTCAGGAACCCAGCTAATGGGAACACCTGAGCTCAGCAGGTCGAGGTTGCAATAAGCTATGATCACACCACTACACTCCAGCCTGGACCACAAAGTGAGTGAGAATCAGTCTCTTAAATATATAAATAAATAAATATAAATCTGAATTCTCAGTAAAGCATCCACCAATATGTTCAACAAGTAGCAAAATGATTATCTCAGCTTTGTCTACCTTTATATAACTTACTTAATCTTAAAAAGCTGGCAGCCAAAGAATAGGAAAGGAAAGGGCATGAGTAATCAATCTGAGAAGAACTGCATTCTTATAAAATAACACGCGAAACAAGGATCACTACTTTTCTGAAATTTACATTCCATGCATTCAAGGTATATAATCTTTCAGAGAGGGTTCAGTAAGAATTGAGGAGAGTGAGCTGGGCATCTTAAGTAACTCCTGTGACCATCAGAGTCTTCCATTATAGACAGTCAGCCCAAAACTCAGACAACTTAACTTAGACGCAAAGCTGTAATTATTACAGAAAACTGAATTATAATTATCTTGGCATTCACCCACAAAAATATTCCCCCAATCTATTCTTAAAATTGAAAACAGGCTAGGGTCTCTAAGCATATCTAGGGCCCATCTTGGTATGCTAGTTTCATTTCAGCTAAATTTGCATTTATTCCTTAATCACAGTGCTGAACTAGTTCTTTAAAAGAGGAAACAAATTAATTCTGAGCTCCTGAGGAAATATCCTGGTAGATTTCCTATTTCTTACAGATAACAAAGCTGCAATCAACTAAAATCAAATAAGCATAGTATCCATTTTATGTGAATGGCACAATTCAACCAGTAAAAACACAATTCTATCATTGAAGAACAGACACAGACACAGATACATACACACACACCACACACCACAAACACACACACACACACACACACACACACAGAGGGAGGTAAGGAGAGAGAGAAAGAGAGTCCTGTGCCTTTTACTTTCCAAAATAAAAGCCAAGGTTCTGATTTCTTTTTTTTTTTTTTTTACCACATAGTGAAATAATTGAGGGCATACCCAAGATGCCAGAACTCTAGTCTAGGTGCACATGCCCAGAAGGGATAGCTGAAGTCTATATAAAGTTTTTTAAAATGACATTCCATTTTCAAAATGAGCAAAAAATAAACTATAAACTTAATGTTTGAATGTAGTGAACACCTATCTAGTGATGGGATTTGGAATTACACTAGAGAAACTTCCAACTAAGAAATGCTTTCCCCATGTACATCAAAAGCTGAAGGCTAGGCCAGGCATGGTGGCACTCTCCAGCAATTTGGGAGGCTGAGGTGGGTGGATCACTTGAGATCAGGAGTTGGAGGCCAGCCTGGCCAACATGGTAAAACCCCATATCTACTAAAAATACAAAAAGTAGCCAGGCACATTGGCACATGCCTGTAGTCCCAGCTATTCAGGAGGCTGAGGCAGAAGAATCGCTTGAACCTGGGAGGCAGAGGTTGCAGTGAGCTGAGATTGTGCCACTGCACTCCCACCTAAGAGACAGAGCAAGACTTCGTCTCAAAATAAATAAATGAAAGACTGAAGGCCAGACTTCCATTATTTGAGATGATTTCACATAGATTCCAACATCTGTTTAAATACCCTTGAGAAAGACCTCTATTATCACTGACGAGTATAAATGTAGTTGCTCAGACCCTTGACCTAGGAGCAAGTTTGATGGAGACCCTTGGTAGGGGTAGAGTTGATGAAGGGAATTGAAATCACATTTTATTGTCAAAGGTAGCAGGATCTGAAAGAATATTCAACGAGGAGGCAAGGGACCATAGTTGGAATCCATCTGCCCAATCTAGGTATGAGATTTCTTATCTGAAAAACAAGAAGATGAAATCTGATGATCTCTAGCCAATTCAAAAATGTAATGACTTCTGTGAAATGAAGCAGGTCAGGTTAGAAGTATAGGGTCAGTCACAAAGAGCTAGGAAGTGGGGAAGCAAAATGTCACTAATGGTGGTCATAAAACCAATGGTAGAGGCAAAGGAGAAGAACTGGAGAAAATACCTCCACAATTGTAATTACATCTAAAGATTAACTCAATGTGTTGAAAAGCAGTTCTACAGTGTAATCATAGTAATGCCTCCGGTAAGGGGCCACAAATATAAACAGAGAGGGAAGAATCCTAGGTTCATATTGGGTCAGTGCTTTCCTCAAAATCTGATTTTTAAAAATGGAAAAGAAACTAGTTTTGCCTAAGGAAATAATGTCTTAAAGCTAAAAGGATGATTAGCAGGGTTGATGAATTTCCTGGTAAATGAAAAATGCTGACTTTTTTGTTTTCTCCCAAGAGCACTAGTATTGAAATTACTCCAGTAAAATTCACTCATTCATTCCACAGATATGTCTACAGTACCTAACATGTGCTTTCATTGATTGTGAGAAGACATACAATGATAAAAAAGTGACCTCTACTCTTAAGCGCTTACAATAGAGTACAGAAGATATGGCAGATACATTAATAAATACAACAACACACGGTATAACTAGACCAAGCAAAGGTTAGGGATTGGAAGAAGAGCTAGGTTTTGTTTTAAATTTTATTTTTGAAAGATCACAGTTACTTCACATATCCATTTACACTAGCCAAAGTCAAGAATTTCTAAGGACAAGTTTAGACACTTAATAAAGAACAGCAGCTCCTGAGCCATCTGCTTTGTTCCAAAAATGAAGAACCATCACACGCAAATTTTCATTTTACTCAATCCTGTGAGAATATTATTGTCAGATGGGGTAGGTAACATTTGTTTTATAACTGACATGGTTAACAAATCATGCTTTGTAAAATGGCTACAGTCAGTGCCTCTTTTGGGTGGAAAAAAAAAAAGAAAACCAACATATGAGCCCAAAAGTCACTTGCTTTCAGCGAGTTCCTTTGATCCATTTAAGGGTCCTGTTACTGATCTCTTTCTGATGAAGAAACAGGCAAAACAGAACTTAAGGTGAACAACAAAACCTTGTTATAGGCAGACACAGATACATTACCAAAAAAGCTAAAGGATTTTTTGCATATAAAGGAATCATTTTCCGAAAACACATCATATAAAACGGCAAATTACAACAGCCCAACTTTAGACTGCCGTAGCCTTACCTGGTAAGGAACAATACTTCCATGAGCTGTACCCCAACGTTTTGCTTCCTTTTGACCAATAAGATAATTTGCAGCTATGTGGGACAAACACGCCACCTACCAGGAAAAAAAGTAAATAAATAAAATAGAACAGCTAGTTTATCTATACTCATAAACAGAATGTTATATTATGAAAGTGATTTCACTTCATGTCATTGTAGCAGAAAAAAAAACTGTCCATCAAGTTAGAAAATATACAGGCACTTGTACTTTTATCACACAAATGAAGAATGGTGTTACATTATTACATGAGACTAAGTAATAGTCAATTGAGAAATATAAACATATAAACGTTCAACCCTTAAAAAGATTATCTGAAAGCAGAGGTTGACCAAGCAGATGGAACCATGGGCCAGCCTTTATCATCAAACCCACAGCAATATACAACAGCAACTCATACATTTTTCCCCTCTGCATGTATCTCCTTTTATTTTGCACCAAGATGATACCAAAAGAGCCTGTGTCATCACTGAGTAGACAGATGTACCAAAGCCAGGAGCCACATTTCTCTAAATTTCTGATGACATAAAAAAGTAGTAATAATAACCCTCCATTTATTTAAGTCAGTTTAGCCAGGTCTTCCATTACTTGTGGCCCAAAGCATTCTGACACAAAAGATCAAGATTATTTGACTTTTTAAAATTAATTAGTAGATCATCCTCATTTAAAGAAACATTACTGTACCTCTCCCAATTTGCTCCTAGCCCCATACTCTCATTGTCATACTCAATTCAGTTTTTGAGAACTGCAGATCTGTTAAAGGAGTCATCTAAAACCTTAGAGTAAGTTTCTGACTATTGCAGTATTTCATGGGCAGATCTTGACAAATCTACAATAGATCAACTTAATATGACAATAATATGAGGTTAATGAATTGCTTCCTGGTGATCTGCCACAAATATCTTATGTTCCAATGAATACTTATGGTTCCACCACTGCAGAACTATGGAAAGGAAGTAATCAAATGATTTTCCATGAATTCCATAAAAGAATAAAAAGTGGTCCTGGCCACATTACATAACCATGACATAGTACCAGCTTGCTTTTCCCTTTCTAGATCATCAGATGTGACTGGAAAACCCACCAAGCCCGTCATTAAAACATAGCCCAAATTGCGACTGGCTCCTGGAACAACTCAAGGCATGATTTTTCAGGCCTTTTCTTGCCCCCTACCTAGCACAGCAGCTGTGCTTCCTACAAGAAATATCAATAGGACTCAGCCTGGATAAATCTCCTTGCTGCCGCAGCCATTCTCCTTTACTTTATTTTTGGGACTTAAACTCACTTTAATGTTCATTTACTGCTCTGTCAAAATTGGAGCTGCCTTGTGGCAGCTGGTTTGGCTGTACAGCCCAGGTGGCAAAACTAATAAACTTTGAGTCATCCACTTCTGGACTTCCATCTGGTCTTGGGCATTTGAACCATGGAGCATTCCAAGGCTGCCTGGGGCCACCTAGTGCTAATCACCATTTCACAGATCACTTCTGTGTCTTTCAAAATGGAAAATCAAATCAACATTTTGTAGCAAAAATGTCCTGGATAGGAAGTTCAGACATGGCCGGTTGAAACCTGGATGGTTTCTAATCTCTGTCAACCTCTAAATAGTTCCATGACTGTGGGTATATAAATTACCTTTTTTGATCTTCTGATACATTCTCTATAAAGTCTTGGCATTTGAGCTAAACCAAAGATTTTCAAATTTTTTTAAAAAAACAGAACTGTATCCAATCAATAATACATGAAATCCTAATATATAAATATGTAAGCAGAGAACAGCTCAAGTGCTCTGGATGAAGCAGAAGCAGTCCTGCAACACCACCCCAGGGAGCATGAACACAGAACACAATCTGCAAAATAGTAAGTAATCCTCAATGTGCTTACAAGGCAAATTTGATATACACTTCCGACTCTATTATTCCTCTTAACAATCTGGCAGATAAAAAGACACAAGGGACTGGGTATGGTGGCTCATGCCTGTAATCCCAGCACTTTGGGAGGCCGAGGCAGGTGGATTACCTGAGGTCAGGAGTTTGAAACCAGCCTGACCAACATGAAGAAACCCTGTCTCTATTAAAAAAACAAAATTAGCTGGGCATGGTGGCACATGCCTGTAATCCCAGCTACTCTGAAGGTTGAAGCAGGAGAATCTCTTGAACCGAGGAGGCAGAGGTTGCGGTGAGCCGAGATCGCACCATTGCATTCCAGCCTGGGCAACAAGAATGAAACTTCATCTCCAAAGAAAAAAAAAAAAAAAAGACAAGGGATGCAATAGCAGTAATTTTCCCAAGACACTCCTTCCTGAAATTGGAGACACTTTCTGAATTCTGAGATCTCTTCTCAGATCTAGCTATGTTGTTCTTTTTATTTATTTTTTCATTCAAATAAATCATGATGAATGTCACTCTCTAAAGGGCTCTGTTGCTACTGAAGGCCAACAAGCAAATTAGTAAAGGTTATTCTGTGCAAGTAGTCAATCACAAAAGCCTTGTTATTTCTTCTCTAATTTCAAAGTCAACAAATCAACATCATCAAGGGCTGCATGAGATTATCACAGGCCAACTTATAAATCCTAAATTGATCTAAGAGAGTTGCCAGGAATAGGGAAGGACTGGATTCTTGGCTGGATATCAGCTTGGCTGCCTCATTCCTAACACATTATCCTGTTCTTTCTTTTCAATTTTTGACTTCTGTGTTTCTGACCCTGCCCCATTTATAATGTGTTTGCATGAAGAGTCAGAACACATCTCTCAATCTGTTTGCAAGTAGAATACTGTATACAATTCCTTCATACAGTGGTAGTTAATGAAATCAAAAAGGATTTCAGAATTAGCAAGCTCATACTGAGCAGAAGGACTAAACAAAATTTTAAGCCAACTGACATGAAAAAACAAAGTGTGGGCCAGGCATGGCAGCTCGTGTCTATAATCCTAGCACTTTGGGAGACTGAGACAGGTAGCTCACTTGAGCCCAGGAGTTCAAGACCCACCTGGGCAACATAGCAAAACCCAATCTCTACTAAAAATATGAAACAAACAAACAAACAAAACAGGTGGGAGGGTCACCTGAGCCTGGGGAGGTCAAGGCTGCAGTGAGCCGAGATCACTGCACTCTAGCCTCACCAACGGAGTCTCAAAAAAAATAAAAACAAAAAACAACAAATTGTGATTTGTCAGTAACAACTCAAAGGCAAAGTTGGGGGAAAAAATCTATTTTTTAAAAAAGAGAGCAACATAGCTAAACTTAGCAAATCAATGTTTAAAGGGGGTATTACAAATCTGAATGTAATCTACTATTTATAGGGATGTATTTTAAGGCAGAAGAAGGGGAAAAAAGTCAATAGCTATGATGTGATTATGAAAAAAATCAGAGGTTTCCTGGGCAATTAATGACAAATTTTGCACAAATTAAAAGAATGCAGGATGTGACTTTTTGGTTAATAACTACATACTGTATACCCATTCTAAATACTGCATTAGATCATTACTTTCATTCCCTAAACTTAGGCTTATTATTTCATCAAGTGGACGCTATATAATTTACTCAGAATGTTGCTTTTTTATGGGTTTATCTAAACAAAAAAAGCCAACTTTGGTTTCATAATAATCATTGTGACAGCAAAACTACTATTTTAGATAACAGAGTGGGTCCTGATATTCTTTGTTTCTAACCAGAAAACCAATGGGGTGGTCAAAATGGATCTCAAAGAGCACAGCCACAAAAGACTTGAGGAAGAATATACCCAATTAGTTCCCAAAGCAGTCCCATGGTATCTGTCACCATATGTTCCACTTCCACTGAATAAGGATACAGCTGCAATAATACAATCTATCGTCTCCAAAAGGACAACCAAGTGTGACACGTAAAATGAGAAAAACAAGACTAGAACCACGGTCCATGGCACCAAAACAGGTCATTTTCCCCCCTATTGCCTCGTATGTCTTCTGGCCTTCAACTAAGTTGAACTGAACACCAACAATGCAATCATCCATCTGCCCACATTTCCAACTATTCTTCAAAGTCTTTGTCAACATCATCATTTCCATTAAGCCCTAACTATAGCCAGCAAGCAAGGGGTTATATTCCCTGCCCCTGAATGAATAAAACACTTAATTTATCTGACTTCTGCTGCACTTTCACAGTCATGCTTGTACTACAATTAGAATTGTAAGATGTCAAAGCTAGAAGGAGCTAGGTCACTACTTCTTTAACCTACCCATGCATCCCAATCACCTATGGAATTCCTAGAACCCATCGCATACCAAATGAATCAAGTTCTTCAGGGATGGAAACTTGGAAAAAAATAATTTAACCAGTGTAATATTAACTGCACATCAGAGTTGAGAACCAAAGCCTTATGAGAGTCTAGTCAAACTCCTTAATATACAAATAGATAAATAAAGGAATATAGAATAAAAATAACTTGGCTGGGCACAGTGGCTCACGCCTGTAATCCCAGCACCTCGGGAGGCCGAGGCACGCAGATCACAAGGTTAGGAGTTTGAGACCAGCCTGAGCAACATGGTGAAACCCTGTTTCTACTAAAAATACAAAAATTAGCCAGGCATGCTGGTGAGTGCCTGTAATCCCATTTACTCAGGAGGCTGAGGCAGGAGAATTGCTTGAGCCCGGGAGGTGGAAGTTGCAGTGAGCCAAGATCGTGCCACTGCACTCCAGCCTGGGCAACAGAGTGAGACCCTGTCTCAT